TTCAGTATGTGTTGGCTACGTAGGGATGAGACTTTGGCACTGGCGAGTAAGCTGGTCGGCGACTCCTACGCATACGTTATATGGCTACAGTCTGCGCAATTATATTGATGGATTGCCAGTGCTTACCAGTGACCTTAGCGCCAGCGAATTTGTGACTGCCCCCAAAGACACCCGGGACTGCTGGACCCTGACTTCCCTGAAGCAGCTGCAGGCTATGGAGGAACAAGACGGAGCCCCAATTCACGTTGAACGCGGTCTTGAAGTTTGGGGAAAGAACACATGCATGGGTTTGTGGTTTTGTTCAGTTTCCAAAAAAAAAGCCAAGTTGACTGGTCATGTCTGAAATTGTAAGTTTTGATAATTCAAAGAATATAAGTGCCTATCGATGCTGACCAGAAACAGAACTTTCCGAAGTCTACTAACCGCCGCTCGTTGAAAATATTGCCCATGAGTATTTGTTCACACTGTTTGCTGCTCCAGGCAGCCGACATAGAACGGACGATATGGGAGAGGACAAAAAATCGAGAAGGAAATCTCTATTTGCGACTTTGGTGGCACAGAGGCAGAATGGAAGAAGATAGAAGAGGCAACAAACTATTTGAATAGCTGTAAGCCTGTATTGGCCCAGATTGTAACAAAGGTGACAAGGGTGACGAGGGTGACGAAGGTGATGAAGGTATTGAATGATACTACTGATGGCCTCGAGGAAAAGTCAAGAGACATCGCTTGCTGCAACAGCGCGCAAACACATGAAAAAAAACAGCACGTGGTAAGTTTTTTTTTTCATTATTGCCAGCTGCTACAATTGCTTACGTCAAGTTCGAAAAGAACCTAGAGACAGTTCCTCCTCATATACGTCTCGTGGAGATGAAGACCAGAAAACCCCAATAACAGAATGCAATGATTGAAGGCGCAATGCCCAATTACAAAAGGCCACTCGAGAAGCAGGAAACAATGACAAAAGACAAACGACGTTGCGGAAACGAATATTGCTGCCCAGAGTATTCGACAAGCAGTGAACATCCTACCGCGAAAAACTCATTTTACAATTTCTGTTTATTCATCAAGCACTAGAAAGGGCATATCACGATGTCGAAGTGCAAACAATCCTCAAGTCACTGACGATGTTGTCGATAAACCTGATATTTTTAACGAGATGCCTCCTGTTCCTGCTCCCGCGACTGTCGGGGCGCCCACTCCCCGTTCCGCTCCAGTGACTGTGGGCTTTTGCCTCCCCCTCTAGTGTGAGTCCGCAGATTGTCTAAGGAGGTTCTCAGAGCTAATCGTGAGCAGGCCGTCGTTGTCGCGTGGCCGGTCAATTTCGTACCGGCCGGTGAACCTTCTCGTGGCCGGTTCAGTTGTCGACAACGCCGCTACCAACAGATATCGTGAAAAAATACTTTTGCATTCCAAGCGTAGTTGGTTCATGGTTGATGTTTGGAGCGAAAAGCGAGACGTCCGGACGCATTGTTTGATGATGACTACAGCAGGAGATACAGACGATCCTGAGAATGATGAGGACACAGCGTCGATACAAACGCCGTGCCAACATGCCAGACGAAATCTTGGACCTTGTGGAAGGACCTTCCACGATAGACGCGAGTATCGACGAAGAGTACGATGTATCCACGGAGAGTCATGTCTTGCGACAATTTGAAAAGTCTGTCAAAGAGAGAAAAACATCCCTGTTCAACAAATCTACAATATGGCTCTTCAAAACAAGACGAGCTCAAACGAGTGGCTGCTACTTGAGCATACATAACGGATAGGAATGCCAGAAAAAGGCTGCATGAGGCCGCCTGCGCCATCAGAGACGAACTCGATATATTCCAGACAGTCTACCGCAGGACGACTGGGAGGAATGTCAATCTGGTATCTGCTACTCCTGTTCACTCCGAGGATCCCATCCAGACATCGGTGCCAGAATTTGATCCGCTGTATGATGCGAGTGACGTGGAGGAGGGTGAGATTGCCCCGACAACCGCTGCCGTTTCCGACATGGACATCGACATATACGGGAATACTCCGCTGGGAGGAATATCTCCAGTTAGTCTACATTCTTCGCATAGATATTGTCTGGTCTGTGGACTAAGAAAGAACCAGGGTATACCTGGATACTATGACCACCAACACAGTTATGTGGTTTGAAAATCGCTTCGAGACGCTCGCGGGCAATGAACAAGGATGGACTGCAGCGAATCCTGGCCAAGCACATCAAATCCAGGAAGATCTGAGGCAGCTGTAGTTCCTGAGGAGCTGAATCATAACTTGGGAGCTTTCTCTGGTTACCTGGTCTATAATTTCTTCCTCCCACGTAAGCTTTACGTCTCTTCTATGTGAGAGAGCAATCCTGACGTGTTCTAGTGAAAGCTTCGTCCCGAAGGACACCTCAACCCACACCAACATCCCTGTCTAGAGGCCAGACCTCCAAATTGGTTTGCGCTCCACAATGGCTCTCCACCCTACAATATGACTACCTTATCTGTGACTGCTACCAGTGTGTCATCTCTCAAAAATTTGACTGGAATGAGGCAGAGGTTCGCATGACACGAGATGGCAACAACGCCTGCGATGATGATGGACAGTTGCTGACACATGAGCCGCAGACACTGGCGTCGTTGGAAGTAACACACATCCTTCTTCCCTTTCTCTCATGTCCTTCCCCGCTGGTGATTCTCAGTTGGTTTGTATATCATATACGTGCCATTGCAGTCGATGGCACTACCTTATCCGGGACCGTCACCGGTGTGTGATAATGTTGCCAGAACACAAATATAGCGCCGGTTTCGAACAGACCGATTCACCCAGAGAAGACAGTCCCTGTCAGTAAGCGAAGCGATTATGTTCTCGGACTTCCTCCCTCTAGCGATATGTCGCAAATTTGACAGGTGTTAGGCATTGAAAATGATGCTCGCTGGTGGCTAACAGAGGACGCGTCTCGCGCTTCTTATCCATCGCATGCCTGTCGGCTCAATTGGAGTCCCGTGAACGTGGACGATCGTCTCTACGCACTGGCTCCTGAGAAATCCAGGGAATTTTCAGCGAAGGAAAAAAGACATTTTCGGAGCACGGTCAGCATCACTGGAATTGAAGAGAGAAGATATGAGGAGCATCACATCTTCCACTATCAGGAATATGTGAATAAGCACCACAAATGAGGAAGATCCTCGAAGAAGGCCACGAAGACGAACCTGCAAAAGCCAGGCAAAAGACAGAGATCTTCTACTTTAAAAAGGACAAGTTGCGGCAAGCGATCGAGGACCTCGTTTGTATGACACCAGTCATAGAAGACGATCCCAACTCTCTGTTAAGAGAAAAAGCTCAAGAATGTCTTCGTATTAAAGGGTCACGAACACCATTTCGCCTAACGAAGAGCACATTCTGGCGATAATAGATATGATCCTGCCTCCCTGATCTGCTTTGACGAGGCAGGCAGATCTTTTTCAATAAGATATCTCGCCCTAAGAAGGGCCACAGGGCGATGAGGTATCAGACCAATCGCTCGATCCCGAATCATTCCTTGGTCTTCTTCTCGATACTTCGTCTCGAGTACTAGTGCTTGCATTATTACGTCTACTTTGTCGTTCTACCAAGTTGCTGCTATCATTAGGCTGCGACCAATACGAGGAAATCCTTCTCGCACTTGAAGGACCTGCAGAGACCTATACCAAAGGCATACTGGCTGGTATGGCCATACCAAGGTGCATCTGCCAATGGACTACGCTGAGAGTAACGGGGCGATCATGGTATTCCAGAAGCCAGATGAGCGCGACCTAACAGCGTGGAAGCCGAACGAAGCAGCGCCCTGGCCTAATGGTGTTTCATCCTACATCCATACTCTCGACAGCGTCAAGAATCATGTAGCCGAACTTTTCACCCACTATCGCCAATTCGAGGAACGCACTTCTCAATCCACACTGATCACAAAAGACATCAATGATCAACTCGCAGAATTGCGCGAGCGTATAGATACAGTGGAGGATCAATTGGGACAAGGCCCCTTTCCCGGTGACATCATTTGATTTTAACGCGCATGGCTTGCTATTTGCTTCTTTCTGGTCACATCAGACAATTGACTCGAGACGAGGAACATATCTGGAAACAACGAGGAGGAACGCAGCATAGCGAAAATAGCTGGACGCCAGTCAACATACTTGGCATCTGTACTCAACGCAACTAGTTACAGGGCTTTCTACACATAGCTTCATAGTTGCAGGACAAGTTCTCCGGGCCAACAACAGGGAACCTGAAGAAGCACATTCCGGACGCACGCCAGAACGAAATCATGCTACCTGATGGTAGCCCAGGCCGTTCTTTTGTTAACAAGGGAAGGCCAGACGTGTGTCCGACAGGCAGTGAAGGAGAACCTGTCGGGTTGTTTTATGGCTCGGGAACAGCCTACCAGCGTTGCCAGGGCATGAAACGAGAGTGCAAGAGGGTAAGTAGAGGCCAGGGCAACGCTGTACGGGTGCTGACAGGGTCTGGAGATGCCCCAACGTTGCGTGGCAGACGCCCCCAAGGTGTTCCGTCTGCGCGGAGGGTTAAGAGTTCTAGTCCGGCACCGATTGATCATCGAAGCCTATGATGGAAGAAGGCTAATATTCGCAAACAACTGCAATCTGCCAATGTGAAAAGATGGAAGAAAATTTAGAACTGGTATCCGTCGCTACGCACAAGAAACGCGGCTCAAAGCATCGGTGAGTCGCTCAACATGGAATCGGATGACCGAATGCTTTGCAAACGTCCTCAATTCTTCATCCGACTACCATCTTGATACAAATCTTGATACAAAAGACCCAGAAGGAACGGAGCCAGAGCAATGGAAATCGTCAGCCGTAGAATTTCTTGCAAAACAGACATCTGGCAATATTGCGGATTTTTCGATCAAAAACCCAAAGAATCTCTATCTCAAAAAGTGGTCAAAAGGATAGACCATTTTCATGAAGAGATCAACTCGCAAGATCTTCCCTCAATTGAGAACTGAGACATTTAATCCCAATGCCCGGTCTGGATAAAGCATATCACAAGAAAAAAAAATTCAGCTAAGGAAACAATACAAAACGGACCTCAAGGGTTTAAAGCACCCACTGTACCGATTGTCACGCCGTGACCGAGAGGCTATGAATTCTATTCTCGGTCTATATCTCTTCCTGCGAGGAAGTCAGATTGAGAAAGTACCCCTTGGCGCCCCGTCAGTTCCAGCCTCCCCGGCCTTTGTCGTCTGGAACAAAGGCAAGCGCCGTGTTCGTCCTGCTCTTCCTCCTGCAACAGCTACCAAGTTGCCAGTTGGATTGCTGCATGAGGCAGGCAGATTCTAACCATGAATTTATACGGGTACACCAGGGTCAAGTTGCGGAATACATGTTGCCCTGGTTCTACCCTTAAGATTGGTTGTCAGCGCTTTCGGCACCAATTGGCTGTGGTAGCGGCGGTGTCTTCATGCTCCGGGAAGCTTCGAACTGGTTCGATCAATATAATATCACGGCGAACGTGGCGAGCGTCATCAAGGATCTGCACCAGAGAGCGCAGAAAACAGTAGCGCGCTCACAGTTACCACTGCCACTAGCATTAAATTCTCCCAGAGATGATGGCTGGGATGTTCAAATCGATAATTTCAATGAGGATCTGTCGCAATACACACTTGAGAAGAGTGAACGTTCTGCTACACAGCTTCCTGTAAATTTTAGATTCTTTATGGTCAGACCTAAGATTAAAGAACCAACTAAAGCAGAAAAGGCTGCAAATAAGTAGATAATAATGAAAGATTTTATAAAATATAATCTACTTCCTATTACTCTTAAAAGGAAATCCAGAAAGTAGTATAAGTAATTAGATACTATATAGAGCACTAATAATAATAGAGGACCTTTATATAAAAAGTACAAATTTAAAGACTTTATAAGTTTAAGTAACAATAAGGAGAGTAAGGAGGGGAGTAAGAGAGAGATAAGAGGGAGATTAAGGAGGTAGTTAGTAACTCTAAAGTTAATATAGAGAAAGACAAGAGGTAAGGGCCTAATATATATAGTAAAAGCAAAGGTTGTTCAGCTACTAGTAAGGTTAGCTAGGAAAGGGTATATAAAGGGAAATAAATCTTATAGGTAGTTTAGCAATTTAATCTTTAGGGCTTATTAATTTAACTTTAGTTAAAGTATCAGAATGCCTTTAAAGGAGAGGTAAAGTAATAGTCTAATAAATTAACAGTTATTAATTATAGAAGAAAATAACTTTGCTAAACAGATCATATATATATAGTCTTTGGTAGGTTGAGTATGTCAATAATCATTCTCGACCAGAATTTAGATCAATTAAATATTAACCAGTAGCGGCGAATCCAAATATGTCTCCGACCCAAGTTGGGGATACATCTATATCAACAGTCGTATTGAATCAATTCACAACCCTATGGACAACAACTGTCAAAGAATTGGCCAGGATCTTCATGAAGGAGAAGGTTATCTACATTAAAGGAATACAAATTCCTCAAGTGACAAATACTGATTTGTATAAAAATTCCTCTGTCAGATATCAATTCCACAGAAGATAGTCGACGCCAGCACGTTCTTCTTTGGATAGATGATGAAGAGCCAAAACCCCCTCCTGTGCTGACATATCACCCAATGGTTAAAGAATGCAAGTCTGACTATGATCCTCAAAAAACACAACTGGATGTATAAATTGAGGTATAGTGGGGTGAAAAGCGTGAATAGAATGAAAACTACAACGATTCCTGATTGAGATTGCTTCTTCTGTGGACTTGAAGACAGCTGTCTGACGACGAGACTACACGGTTCGAGTCCCTTTCTCTTTATGTATATAGTGCGCTAGTTTGCATGACGAGAAAGCCCATGAGATAATTCAGCCGCATATTTGTACAGAATGTTGTCTGTTTGTATATTGTTTTCTTATCGTGATGATACCATATGTAACTAGGTATGTACCCTACCCAGTCGCTATCCATCACATGATCATGACTAGTAGTAAATATTCAATCTCTATTGGCTTTATATACCCATTATTTTCATGGTGGATTTTCTTGTCCACCTCAAAACATCATGATAATCCGTATGTATCCTATTCGAGGCTAAACATAGTGCGAACAGGGGTCCCTAGCTAATTAGTTCGTTCCAACAGGGATCGCTCTTGGAGGGGTAAGATGTCATTCCGTATCGTTATCGTCAAACCACACTATTATCTCCTATCTCATCACTTCCTTCAGTGACTAGACCGTCCAAATAATGGGCAAAGACTCAAGACCCTTCCTGCTCAATCCTACCGAACTCTACGAAGCCTTCTGTCTGCTTCGCCCCGCCGAGGATTTCGTCTACGGGATCCGCGCACAGGTGGCGCTGACGATCGCGCAACTCGTCGTGCTCGTGCTGTTCTATCCGTGGATTGTGCGGACATGGCGCAACCAGCACACGGACGCCTCCTGCACTTGTAGGGCATGTGCTCCGAGGGAGTCGCTACGGCGACTACCTCGTCGTCGACGGGCGCTGTCCAGAGAGAAGAAGGAGAAGAAGGAGAAGGGGAAGACGAAGCCAATTTTGATGCGGAAGATTCGCAAGAAGAAGAGACAAGTCTCTGCCCTGCTGGCCCTGCCTCTGGAACTGCGGCAGGAAATCTTCAAGCTGATCCTGGGCGACCGGGTCCTGCACATCTTCACCGATCTCGGCCGGGAGGAAGATTCATGGGACAACCTGGGGCATACGGTGTGCGCCTCGCCCGCGGACACGCCGCATCACTGGGGAGACATCACGACCGCAAGTCTGATCACACGCCCGCCGCAGATGCAGAGCTGCATCGCGCTGCTGCAGACCTGTCGGCAGATCTACTGCGAATGCATCGCCCTGCTGTACGCGAGCAACCTGTACGACTTCAACCGGCCGATGGAGTATCTGGTGTTTGTGAACAGCATCCGGCTGCAGCGCCTCCGGCAGATCCGACATCTGCAGATCACGCAGGAGAACTCGGAGAACCAGTACGAGTTGCCACCGACAAACACGCTTCGCACGCAGCCGTCGGGGATCCATCTGTGGGAGAAGATGTGGACGGTCGTGGGCGAGAAGATGCTCGCGCTGACCACGCTGAAGATCCGCTTCAATTACCGCGAGGGATGGTCCGACTCGGGGACTCCGCGCAAGTACGCAGAGGATATGCTGCGTCCGGTGAGGAGGAGCGTGCGCGGCTTGATGGAATTTTCGCTCGAGGCGAATGAGCCTGATTTCGACCTGGCTGCGTTGGAGATGGAGGTTCGACAGGATGTGTACGCTGCGAGAAGAGTTAGTTCAGTCGATGAAGAGTGACGTCGTTTAATATCCTGTTCTACTTCTTATGCTAATGATGTTTCCTGCACTGCCTGAGCAGAGGTATCCTATAAATATTCCTTACCCTGATAGGTGAATGACTTGAGTTAGGGCTAATTATCACTACTCCCCAAAACTGGCAAAAAAGCAATCTCCTATTGTCCAGACATGGGAAACGCATAGTAAGGCACAAAAAAGAACTTACATGTCTCTGAAGAATATGTGTCTGTGACTAGATGGCGCGACTTCGACCCGTCAATTGGGCAGGGTTTGTACAGTACATGCATCTATGAGCAGCGAGAATCCCTAATCAAGAGGCTATCCCATTTGTGCAGCAGATACTAGGAGTATGCATCGTGCAGAAGGGATCATTCCGTCTATCATCAGATGATGGAGATTCTTTTCCTCCCATGGCCGCACTATATATGCCTACTTGTGAGGTAATAGTATCGAGGATAATCCTGACTTGCCCGGAGCAGACCACGATGGATATCGATATTTATTGACCACATTGGCAGCAGTGTTAGCAATTGAGAATACTCCTCTCCTCTCTGTATAATTTCTTGGGCTAATAATGAATTCAGCAATGCAATAATTGTCTGGTCCCGTAATGCTTCACACGAAGTAAGTAGGACATAGGACTGGAGTAATGAGACTACATAGAGCACATGTAGGAAGGATTCTTATCACAACACTCTATGGTAACTACGCCTGTGTGAGACACGGATGGTTCTCGTATTTTGGCTTCAGAGATTTAAATATAAAATATACACTGCCGCATAATGTTATCTATCTACATAATCTGCATAGTGCATTGATTTGTATGTATGTATGTACAGTACAATCTAGTCTATATACCCCAAGCAGAGTCTATACACACGTATATACACACATGGTCAGTCTATACTACTCCGACGCCGGACTCGGTGGAACAGGCCCCGTCGTCCAATTCATCGGCTGACTGCCTAACTCAAACTCCAGCGTGCCACCACGAGCAAAGACATCGTCCCAGGTGAGCCAATTCTTGGTCCACGGCTGACCGTTGACCTTGAGACTCTGGACGTAGAAGTCGGTGTCGCCGTTGCCGTCGCCGCCCGTCGCGGTGATCTGCAACTTCTTGCCCTCGCCTAGATCGATGGTCATCGACTCGAACCACGGCGAGTGGATCAGGAATGTCGTCTGTCCTGTCACCGGGTACAGCCCGATCATGTTCCATAGCAGCCAGGTCTGCATTGCCCCCGCGTCGCTGTTCCCCGGAAGTCCGGACACGCTGGTGCTGTAGTAGTTTTTGGCGATGGTGCGCGATTTCAGGACGGACAGGTCCTGTCTGTCGACGTAGTTGTAGAGATAGGGGACGTTGAACATGCTGGAGACGTCAGCTGGTAAATAATGTTCCCCCCTTTCTGGGATTGAGGCAAACGACTTACGGCTCATTCGTCGGGTCGAAGATCATGCCCGGACTCCCACTCGCGCCCTCCTCAAACATGATGTTCAGCCGTTGCACGACCATCTCCGCGCCGCCCATCAGCTCGATGATCTTCTTCATGTCGTGGATGTCGGTCCACGAGTACGCCCACGAGCTCGCCTCGTAGTACGGATCCCCCCAGTACCCGCTGTCCGTCAGCGGGTCTGTCTCGATGAACCCGGACAGGTTGCGAGGCACCACGAAGCCCGAGAAGCCCAGCGACGTCGTGTTCGGATTCCAGTGGTTGCGCCAGTTTCGCGACCGGTTGAGGTACTTCTCCGCGTCGTCGTGGATGCCCAGCCCCGACGCCACCTGGTACAGGCCAAAGTCGTTGTAGGCGTATTCGACTGCCCGCGACACGGCCCGGGTGTAGGTAGGCGTGATGAAGCCGTATTTTTTCCAGTCTGGCAGCGCGCCACGGCCCTCTTTCGTCGACGAGTCCGGCGCCTGGGGGTCTGGAGGGACGGTGTTGGGCGGCGGCACCTCTGCGTCCTTGACCATCGCCCGGTACCCGTCTTCCCAGTTGACCGCGCCTCGCACGCCTTTCACATACGCATCCGCCAGGACGTTATCCGCGTTGGATCCGCCCTGGGTGCGGCCGTTGTAGTTTGACGAGCGCGCGTCGGGCATGTAGCCTTCGAAGCGCCAGATGTCGATCAGAGAGCGGATCTGCTCCTCGTAGGCCACGGGCTGCAAAACGTGCATGAGGGCGGTGCCGCAGCGGAAGAGGTCCTGCAGAGTCAGAATATTATCATGATAAAAATAAGCAGAATAGGTATACGCTACATACCCACAGCGTGAAGATGTCCTGATAATACGGCTCTGGCGAGTTCCACGACGGATTCTCGCCCGTCTGGTTCGTGGGAATCAGGTGCATAAAGTACAGCGACGTGTACAGCAGCTCAAGGTTGGTCGTGTTGGTGGTCGTGGTCGTGATTTTCGAAAGGACCTGTTCATTCCATGCCGCCTTGGTGTCGTTGACCACCTGGGAGAAGGGCGTGCCAGCAGGAATCTCGTTTTTGAGATTGCTGCAGGCTTGGGCGGTCGATATCCACGAGATGCCCACCCGCGAGGTCACCTCCGTCGTCGCGAAGGTGAAGAGACCGCCGATTCTGACGTCTGGCGATGTTGACGAGGCCGATCCACTGCGCTGGACGATGCTGCCAGCGGCGTCTGTACCGACATAGGTCTTGTTGCTGATGGGGGGAGTATCGAAATAGCCACCTGGAGACTGTCAGAATATGTCCTCCTCTAGCAATATCCGTAAGACACTCACAGAAGTAGATCGGCCAGTTGGGCGACCTGTTCCAACCGTTATTGTACACGCCATGACCCTCGTAGTGACCGTCTGCGAAGATGGTGAAGTTCCCCCCAGCGTAACCCTGGGAGAGACCCATGCCTCTATATGACGGCAGCACATGGGACACATCCACCAGGACGTTCTTTCTCGTTGCATTCCTGGGGAAGGTGTAGCGGTACATGCCCGCTCGATTGGCGGCAGCCAGCTCTACAACGACATTGTCGCTTGTCTGGGCTTTGTAGTAGCCCACCGATCCCTGATCGGGTACCGCTCGACCAACGGTCAGGTTGGACAGTGGCTGCGAGATGTTGCCCACGAGAGGGAGCTGGGAGACGGTGCCGTATTTGGGCGCACCTCCAGTGCCCTGCTCGTGCATCATGGAGAATCCAGAGAACTGCCCCGTCGGCAGGTAGCCAGAGTACGAGTCGGTGCCGTCTACATAAAGATCGGGGCCCAGCTTGACCATGCCAAAGGGCCGCGCGACGCCAGGGAAGTTGTTGCCTCCATCTTCGGTGCCGGTAAAGACGCTCACGAACGGAGTGTAGTCTGCTGGATCGCTGGCAGCGGCACGTGCCACTGCAGGCAGGAGAAGCGAGAAGAGCAGCAGCATGATGATGGATGAGCAGACAATGTCCTCGTCTGCGTCGACGAGAAAACAACTCCACCGTCAGGCCACCAGTCCTGAGGCCTTGTTGGGGCCATCTTCAGCTTATATAGACTAGACTACAGTTATAGTCTAGACTACAGTATGCCTACTCTAGTACTCCTCCATTCCTGTCATCAGATAAGATCCATCCCAACTCCACGCATCCTCTCCTAGGCAAGGAGGGACTGGCGACTTTCGATATAAGGCCAGGCTACATGACCGGGGTAGTTAACACATGCGACGATCACAAGCCGTGAATGGCTCGTCTGGTGACAAGCCAAGCTTTAGACTGGACAGGAACCAACCTAAAATCTAGCTCAAACCAGTTCAAGGTTGACTCGGTACGGCAAGACGGCATGGAGATGGGGCCATGGCCATGAAGGACGGAGTCGATCCATATCGCGTTCCCCATGGAAAATTCTCGCCAAGCACACACAGCTTTGGCCTGGCAACATGTGGAATGCTGAGCATGCTGATAATCCGCTGACCAAGGAATGTGTTAGCGAATAATGTAACCTCAAGCAATGTCAAGATTAGCTATAGTTCTGAACCGCAGACTAACTTGAGCTTTTCCAGATGACTCCATTCACTGCTTCTGTTGTCTGAAACTATCCACATGCAGTGTATGTCTGTGGGTCACCATAGTACTGGCATGATGATGGAGGATGATAACTAAAGCCATCCTACTGATCGACCATCGTGATGGATCAGTCTTTACAAGAAAGAAAGAAAAAAAAAAGATGGTATAAACTGGAGGATTCGCCTGCCCTGTCCAGCTGCCAACCCGGTCATGCCCCCGGAGCGCGTGCGCCGCAAAGCCAGCCGATTGGCCGGGCTGGCCATGTAGATGCGGTGAGTTACATCCTCTGCATGTGCCGGTTTGCCGTGGAGAGCCATCGATCTCGCGGATATGACCTGAATAAATTTACGATAAGAATTAATTCTAAAATAAAATGCAACCAAATCGACGCCAATAATAACTCTATTCCTGTAGGAGCGAACGAGCGAACGCTTATTCGTCGCCGTGTTCGTGCCGGATCCCCGTAATTCCGCCCCCGCAATTTAGAACTACCTAAAAAAAATAAAGTAATACGAAAAAAAGATCAAAAATAAATCTACAAGCAGCTAGAGCAATATCATTGGCTGGCGACAACGATCGCTTTAAAAAGGCTTTAAAGCCCCTTTCGATTGGACAATAGATCACGTGTAATCGATTATGTAAGCATGATGTCTATTGGGCTGGCCTCTGATTGGTCAGTCAGTACAGTTCCTGAAAACATCAAGCTACACAACACTGGGCTTTGTAGCTCTCTAGTTATCTACTGAGTAGTGACAGATCTCTGGTGATGCTGTTGTGCTCAAATAATAGTAATAGAAGGCAGGAATCAACAACCCTTCTGGGCCATGATCACCCTCGCTAACCCAAAGCGACCTAGCTAGCACCTGCCACCTGAACGGCAGGATTAACATTAAACAATCATCACAACACATTGAATTGAGAACGGCAAGCGTCGCATTGTCTCAGACATGTAGTCCTGCGTATATGTGTAAACTCCTGTCGTCGACTGCAACGGCCAAGCGCGCATTCTGGCCCCTCTCAGCCATAGCCTCGCTCGGCCGCAAGCCCCCCAAGAGTCCGCAAGAGTCCTGTTCCAGAACTCGCTGCCCATGTACCGATTGAGGAAGAGACTACCCCTCATTATGACCCAAGATTCTACTTTCCAGTCGATCCAGGGTATATCTTCCGAAATAGATATGAAGCGTTAGCAAAGATCGGCTGGGGGAGCTGCTCTACCGTCTGGCTTGCGAGGGACATTCGTCGGTAAATGCTTAGAGACATCTTTGGCTAGATAGCTAGCCTCCAGCCTGCACATCGCTGATAGATATACTCCCTTCCAGAAGGATATGGCAATCAGAGCGCTACGTAGCGCTGAAGATCAGCAACTGCGACTTGGAAGACATGGACGCTGCAGCCCACGAGCTCAGTATCGAACGTCGCATTGCACAGACAAATCCTAAGCATAGAGGCTTCCACTACGTCAGGACCTGCATCGACAGCTTCGAGGAAAGGGGACCACACGGAACACATCTGTGCCTGGTCTACGAGCCGATGAGAGAGCCACTGTGGCTCTTCCAACGGCCTTGTCGGGGGAGGAAATTCCCGCTGGGCCTGTTGAAAGCATATGTCAGGCTTCTTTTGCAAGGTCTGGAGTATCTCCACTCTGAATGCAATATTATTCACACAGGCAGGCTTTTGTTCCTCAGTTCTTCGGTGTCTGCAGTATACTAACGATTCCTAGATCTCAAGGTCGACAACATCCGGGTAACCTTTGAAGATCCCTCCGCTATCAAAAGACTTCGTCCAGGCACAGGAAGCCCATCCAATGGCTCGAAAAGTCAAGGATGGTCGATCCATCTACCTGTCTCACAATGACTTCGGCTCTCTCCGCTCGTACAACATCCTACCCAAGATCACAGACTTTGGCCTGGCACAAATCCAGCAAGAACCGGGCCAATTGAATAGACATCCGATCCAGCCCGACCACTACCGAGCGCCAGAAGTGATCCTCGGCGCTGGATGGGCGTATGGTGTGGATATATGGAATCTCGGCGTGATGGTATGGTCGTCCTCTTCATCTCGTCGTCAGACTCTTAACACAGCCTATCCAGATGTGGAATTTACTCGAGAATCGAGATTTATTTTGTCAAGTCCACGACCAGGAAGGGTAATACAGTGCTGCCGCACATCTGGCAGAAATGATCGCGCTGCTTGGTCCGCCACCGAAGGAACTTCTCGATCGCGAGCGCGACGGCCGAAGGTGGAATTTCGCGCCGGCGATAAGGAACGCGGCAGGCAAGCTTTGCACAAAAGCGTACGAATGGTACGGAGGGCCATTTTTCGATGAGAATGGTAAGGCCGACAGAATCAGAGTTACTTTCTACATGCATTCATGCCCAGCTGCTAATGTTCATCCTGGCAGGCAACTTTCTCTACGAGCACCTTGTTCCGCGTCATCTGTTGTTGGAGGACACAGTCACTTCTCTCCATGGAGAGGAGAAGCAGCAGTTTCTAGACTTTGCGAGCCAGATGCTTCAGTGGGATCCGGATAAGAGGAAGAGTGCCAGAGAGCTTCTCGACGACCCGTGGCTTAGTGAGGAGTCTATCAGACGTCTCGGGAAGGCTTACTAGTTGGTATTATGCCGTTAAGGTGTCCCGTTAAGTCTCTAACGGGCAGGCAGGTGCTTGGATATAACAGCCTCCTTTCGATATCCCTCATTTTCTGGACATATGTTGCGTGGGTGATAAAACATTAAACGGAAACACTAGGACTGGTTCATCGTCGTACAGGAGTAGTATCTTCCTCGGGTTGCGGATATGGCGTTCAAGGGGTTAGGGTTTAACAATCTATTGTACAGTACAAATTAGCCAAGGATTTATCCAGGATAATGAATTAAACAGGCAAAAAAAACCTCCTCAAAAGTTGGCTCTTTTGACAAGTAAACTGATAGCTAGCACTGCAAAGTGTACCGCTGACTACACCGCACGCAGGTAGATATCCGACTACGTAGAAACAACTTGGCTGGACTGACTCCAGATTAGAAGCAAGTCAAAATAATCTTTTTCTTTCATTTAATCAGCAAGGCTAGATTTTTAGTTAGTTAATTAGTGTCTACGACTCCAAACTCCTCACAGCCATCGCCAAAGCACCCTCTTTCGTCTTATGACCACCAATGAACCCGCTGGCATGCACGAAAACAGCACCGGGAGGAATCTTCGTCTTGCCAGCTTGATCGGCCTCAGCGGCCATCACTCCATCGAGATCCTCGTCACGGACCCCCCGCCAGGACTCCGGCAGGGGCTTGCGGGATTCGAAGCTGCCCTCCTCCACGGGCACACACTGCACGCGCCACTTGGACCCTTCGGTCGCGCTCTCCGGGTATAGGACGTAGTAGACCTGGTTCTCCTCGCCGGACCCGGCCTCCTGCTCGAAGTTGTACAGGTGTTCCTTCCACGGCACACCGCCTTCGGACCAGGATGATGATGCGCCCTGACGGGTGCGCCGTCTCGCGACGCGACCGGTACGCCGACCCGACCGTCGCGCGCGCAGGGAGCCAGTACGCACTCGCATGTCGCAGCTTGCGCAGGAAGACCTCGCCGATGAAGGCGCTCGCCTTGGCGAACCGGGCGTCCTCATCCTGTGCCTCGCCGGTGGCATTCGGGTCCGGGTAGTTCAGGTCGCCGATCAGCGAGCCCAGGTTGATGCCACCGTCTTTGAACCGCTTCTGCAGGCCTGCCACGGCCACGGCGGCGGGATCGTACACTGATATCCCGTTGTCATTCGCGTCCAGCGCCTCGATGAAATCCGTGTACAGCTTCTCGTACAGCAGCGTCACATCCGGGTGATCCAGCGGGAGGTTGGTATGCTGGGCAATGATGGCGCGGCCGAAGTGCATGTACACCAGCCCCGCGGACGAGAGCTTGGTGGAGTGGTTGGGGAAGGTGGTCGTGAAGGAGCGCTGGTGGTGGTCATAGCGGTTTCTGGGCGGGGTCGTACT